CACAAAAATTTCGAGCTAAAAAATTTCAACTGTTATGTAACTCAAACAACAAAAAACTGTTTTTCGCACCCGTCGAGGACTATAGATTAATTGAGGTAGTAAAAAAGATGATATTAAAATAAAAACGCAAATAAGTGGTATTGAGAATAGACAAAATTAACACTCCGTACGAATTAGCATCAGATGTAGCCGAAAATATAAAAACACTGTGGATCACTCTGCACGGAGTGAACAAATTTACCACAAAAATGCCGTAAAATGACGCCCGCAAAAGACACCGGAACCAAAATACCTGGACCCCACAACTTCTAAAAACCATCAATTACAGAAACCAGCCGGGAAAACCAGACAAGCAATAGCCATAGATAAAGAAAATTTAAACATGAGATTTAAGAGAGCTCAAGAAAAAGTAGATCAAAATTTCAAAAAAAGAATAGAACAAGTGGCAAAGACAACTCTAAGAGTAGCAACAAAAGTGAAAGACCCACAAACATTGGAACAGAAATATTAAACGGGAAAACCCTTAAATATACACCACATACAGCTTGGGTACACACATTAGGCAAACTACCGAGATTGTTAAGAAACAGCGGATTCGCTTTTGTGCCTAATCCTATGATACGTGGGCCATGCAAGACATCAAGGCTAACTGACTATGTCGTACAAATCCGGTGATCTGTACAAATCCGCGTTTTTCAGACATTGAACAGCCGAATGCTCCACGCCACTCAATGTTCAAAGGAGACACAACAACGGGGCTAGCAAGGAAGCTCACCAGGAAAGAAAAGCAGGAAAAAACATAACAGCAGGAGCAACAGGAGAGCCCAAACAAAAGAAGAGCTATGCCGATTGGAAAGAGAACCGGAGGAAGACTTCAGCAAAGAACACCCGCACGGGGCATGAGTTTCCCAACCGAAGCAAAAACAAACAGAGATGAACAATCCAACAAACATCCAGCAACTACAAAGCAGACAATATAATCAAATGAAGAAGGATCTTCAACATCTGAAAACACCGCAAAATCACCGAAAAGATTAAACCAGAAGAAAAGACCTTCAATTGAGTAAATACTTGAACCAACTCGGAAATCGGCGAGAAACCGACAACCGACTTTAGCTGGGATACCAAGGATACCGACTTAAAATTATTTTAGCATTAACTATTTTTCAGTTCTAGACCAACTATCACTCCAATAAACCTAGACCCAGAACTACAACTGTTAGCGTGCAATTTGGCTAGAACTGGAGATCTTAAAATTGAAGATCCTGAAGAAAAAAAATAGTTTTTGGGAAAAAATTTAGTACCCGATTGCAAAAACCTGGCTCTTCGAAGCTAGCCACTAGAAGCCTTTTTTGTGGTTAACCCATTATAGAGGCTGTTTCTACCGGGATCAAACTACTTTCAGATCAGGCTTTAATAGAACTTTTGAGAAGCTACAAGAAATTTGTTAATTTAATGAAAAATGTTTCAAAATTGTTTTCAGCAATAGTCACAGAGACTACTTTAAAAATAAACTGGCCAAAACCATAAGAGCTAAAAATCAACTTTTTCTTCGAATTCACACAAACTGTTTTTAAATTATTTGTTCATATCAGGATATGTCTTTCTTTTTAGTATATGATACGCTGAACAGTGACTGAGCCTCAAAAATTCACTTTTGAACGGCTTTTATTGTTCACGAACAGTCACTCGAAACGACAGTTTGAAATGGCTCCAGAAATTCTGAGGGACAATATTTCACGATTAGGCACTGGCGCTTTATTTTATTTTTTACTGAACTATCGGCAAAATATCGAACAACTCGCCGATTTTTTCTAGTTTTTGGAAAGTCTAAATTGGAAGCATTGTTCGCTCTATCAAACGTTGTCAACAGCGCTCCATATTTTTATATCAATTTGAGAAAAATAGAAAAAACAAGATAAGTTGGCTTCAAGAAACTTCATTCAGTTTTCATATCACTTTGTAATTGACAATTCATTATTGTTCCGACTTTCGATACGAAAGTAACGGAATATTTGTGCTCGGGGTGGGTTTTTTTTTTCTTCAGACAAATTTCGACTTTTTAACTAGCCATTTTTGACGGAAATGTTTTATATCATTCGAAAGCTATTGTTGTCCTGAGCTTAAATTTGAAAAGATATTTCACCTGTGATCATTTTTCGTAAAGTTATGAGGGTTTAAAGATTGCCATTTTGACCAATTTGGGACAATTAACGCGTAAGCGGAGAATTCATTCGTCTTAGAAATCGTTCCAAATTGGTTGTAAGAAGCTTATTTACCATAATTGATTTTTAAAAGGAGCGAAATCTATTGTTTTGTACTTTATATGGCGTGTGGGGAGATGATTTTCATAGAAAAATTTTCAAATTTTAGAAAAAAAATTTTTTTTTCATTTTATTTTATTTCATTTATTTTTTTTATGTTGTTTATATTATTACTGCTCCATAAACGTTAAAAGCCAGTCGGAACTTTCAGGGCTTCGCCCTGATACGAGCAGTCTTGTTTTATTTTTGAATTTTATCAATTTGAAACCAAAAACTACTTCAAATACAATTAGAGCAGTCCGGTTAATCGCGGTTCGGTTCCGCTTTGATACGAGCAAACCTGTTTGATTTTCTACTTACAAACATCACTCTTATAACATACCATGAGCCAGACTTTTTGAACCTAAGTTTTTTTTTCAATTATAGCATATTTTAAAAGGAGCAACTGAACTTTAAAGTTTTTAGCCCGCATTTGAGGCGATATTTTAAATCGTCTTTTACACCGCGGTTACAAAGTGCTTATGAACCTTTTTTATGTTCATTAAAGCAAACAGTGAATCTGCAAAAAAGTGAGGCTTCCAAAATCCCAGCAGTTTCTTATTACTCTCATTTTCACGGGAAATTCGTTTCATGATTAATGATGAAAAGCAACCATAGGGCATTTTTTTCTTTTGTTTCGTTCCATAATTGCATTACTTGCTAAATAAGGCGCACCCAGTTTGGCATAAAATGCCAATCATACAAATTCATTTATAAAAAATGTTTATTATATAATTCCATACTACAAAAAAAATGTTTATCATACAGTTCCATACTTTTCCATAAAAAAATGTATGAAAATAGCATGACTAGCTTTTTTCCTTTAATGTAACTGTATGACTAGCTTTTTTTTTCCATAAGTGAAATTGTATGAATAGCATTTATTCCATTAATGTAATTGCATGACAAGCATTTTTTCAAAAATGGAAATGTAGGACACAATTTTACCATAAATTTTTGTGTTTCTTTTAATTTATTTGTGTTCTACCCTGAAACAAAAAACCAAAGGTTTCCTCAGATAAGAAAAGCAAAAAATTAAATGGCAGCATAATAGCATAATAACAGATTTAACAACGCACTGCCAAGTAAGTTGATCTGTTAATTTTCACACATGCTAATACGTAGTATTTGGTAATGACGTTCTTACAACACAAATAGCTCACTTTTCAACTGATAGCAAAGCTAGTTATTGTTCTGACCGCGTCACTGAAGAAAGCCGGAAAAAACTATGAGTTATTTATGTTTTTTTTTCCACTCGATTTTGAGTAATTTAATGAAACTCGTGCGTATTCAAGTGTGGCAGCATATTAATTTAGATTTCAATAAAACAATTCAGCAAAATTGACTCTATTTTAAGAAAAAATGATCTGAATCACAAAAAAACTTACTAAGTTGTTGCAGTTTTTGATTCTTTTCAGTCACTCCTCAATGAAATTTTTTTTCCGATTTTTTTTACTGAGAAAAACCAGATTTTTGAAATTGTTTACTTGAATCGTTATGGCCAGAAAATGTTTTGCTACTTGCAATGACAGCTACCTGATATCCTTATTTCTTATTATTCTGATTTAAAAATGTCTGGAAAAAAAAGAATAAATTGAGGTTTCTAGAAAAATAAATATGAAACTTCAGCTTAAAATCATTTGATTGTGGAATTGACAAGTGATGGAAATTACAATGAATTCTTATCAAGATTGAATCTGGTTCTGAACTATGGAATAAAATACTATTGCATCCAGATAGCACTGAAAAAGAGCCAACAAAAAGCACGGATCTTGTAAGCTATTTAGCCTCTAATTATCAAGGTGTGGTGGTTGGGGGGGGGGGGTAGGATTCGCGACAAGGTTAAAAATACGTACAGGTTACTTTACTTTTAATTAGTGCAAAACAGCGGTTCAAAACTGGGTTGAAATTTCGCTTTTAGGATATAATTCGGGGGGGGGGGGGGTAAAAAATTAGATACTAGATACCATTGGCGGACAATTGTTGACAAGATCCGGACTTGTTGACAGTTTTAGCTTGGTTGAAATTAATTTATGTACAAACTATATTAACTGAAGCGGCGCATGACTCATCTATTCGCGCCAGTCCAGCCAAAAGAACTGCGAAAGGCCCTGGAACAAAATTAACATCTACTTTTGGCGGATAATTGAATACTTCAGAAGGAAAAAGTGTCATATTTTTCTCATTAGGAAGCATCGTGAGTTTTCAGAGGTTTTTTGAAATCTCAATCAGCTCAGGTAATGCAACTCAACGGGATGCTTGTTCCAAAGCATTTAGACTAAATTAAATGGTTTATAACAAAGCAGTAAATAAACCATTTAAGTGATCATCTGACTCATTAAGAGACTGGACTGTTTTGGCACTTTTCTTCTGGCCATGACTGACTAGCGGCCACGAGTTACATAATGGACCCAACTTAGTTGATTCAAGCTGAAATGTTAAAGCTCTCATTCGGTTAAAAATCTCTTTGCTCCGTCTGCAAGTGTAAACTTCTCCCGTTAATGTGCTATTCTCATTAATGCACCCCTCAAGCCAGAAAACTACTGGTACCCTTAGTTTATTCATGAGCATATCTGGACCCGTCCCGTATTCTTGTACATTACTGGGACGATACAATCTTGTAGTCTTGAATCTAAGTGGGACCTATCGTTCAAAATTGGTGGGGACCTAACCATCAAAATCATAACTGCACAATACATTGACCATATACAACAAACTACTTTTTTTCACATTCTTTGTCTCTGTTGTTTGTTTCTACAAGGCAGTAATGTATTCGGGCAGGTAGTTATACGCAGGATTCACATGTTGTTCATTGTGCTCCTTAAGAGCCTTCTGTCTCTTCGCTCTCTGCTGCAGGATCTCTTTGTTCTCCATACACTTGTCTTCATTCAGGGGGTACATGAAGATGCAGAAGGCGTAGAGCAGCACTAGCACTGATGGTCCAGGGGCGCACAGTACCCGCAGGGTGAAGTCCACGTCCTCCCCCTGCTCAGCCCCACAACTGTTGTCAAATCCAGCAATGTCCAGAAACAACGTCGACACTCCTATACACAGCCAGCAAACATCAAGTTTTTTTAACAGCCACGCCAAACTAATACTCCACATTTTAATGCAAACCATTTTTCCAACTAAATTTCATATCAAAGTTTAAGTCAAAATATTCTTCAAAATAGAAAAATAGTTTTCCTAACAGCCAATATTTACGTTCGGTTCACAGACGTCCAGGCACAGTAAAAGCTTATTCAAAATCGTTTTGTAAAACTTTACTTGCATTTTATCAGTCATAACAGTAAATTACGACTATTGAGGCTATTGCACGAAATAGTTTTGAAAACAAATGAGTCACTAAATTATAATAGTGGAAACTCAAGTTTTCAAGTTTACATTATTTACTGCTTCAGACGCTTTATAACTTCATAGTATAAGTTCGTTACACAGAGGCGAAGCTGCGCTTTGCAAGCACAAGCAAAGAAAAGGCAAAAAAGGGCTCCAAAAAGGCAAAGCAAAGTGAAATAGGGCGGAAGATTAAAAATGCACATTGAAAAAAAAATTGTTGAGATTAGGACTATGCAGCAAAAACTCGACAAAGAAATAATACTATTTAAATGTTCCGGAATTAAATATCCGACCCTTTGATTCGGAGTCTCATTTCCTCCAATCTTCTCATTTTCTCTACTAAAGCATGGGAATAACCTCTGCTTTCCACACCCAGATTTTCAGGTCGAAGTTTTCCGCACTCTGGTTTTTCAGATCGACTCCTTAATATCAGATTTAGCTAATAGGTTTCGAGAAGAGTGAGGCAATTTCTTATAAAACAGTAGAAATAGGACATTTTTTTAGGCCATAAGTTTTTTTTTCAAAAAGCAGAGCATAACTGCTGGTGCAGAAACGATTCGCACAATTAAATTTTTTTCGCTTAAACCCGTAATCTCGATTTGGCAGGGTAGTTTTCAGAAAAATCAGAAGGTTTTAAAAATTGACCAAAATGTCAAAAAATATCTTGTTTGAGGCCATAACTTTTTTTCTACCGAATTTAGGAAATAGCCGCTTGGCAGGGTGGAATTCCCATAATTTGTTCTTTACATCGACACCTTCATTTCAAATTTGTGCATTCAATATTTGAGAAAATGAAAAAAATTTAAAACAAGTAGACCAAAAATCCCCCTAATGATACTTTCGAAGGACGAATATGAGGTAAAAAGAAAAGAGACTAGCAAAATATGTAAGCACACAGAAGAGCAGCCGGTTGTTATGGTGAAACCATTTTTTCAAGTCAGTACAGTAGTTTTTGAGAAAAATTGAAAATTTTGCGAAAAGTGCAAAAATTTCCCAAAGCGTCGCAAAAAAAAACGAAAAACGACATATTTCATATGTTTTCATAATACATTTTTTTCAACAGGTCCCAATACTAGCCAAAAAACAAGCAGCAACATATGCATTAAGCTGTTTTAGCTTAAATAAGCTTATATATGATTAAATTGAAATATTCCAAAAGTGCCACTAAATGAGAACTTTTATTTGCGACACAGGTTAGAAACAAAAACTCTTCGTAATAATACACTACGTTTCGCTTTTGTAAATAGGGGAAACTCAAGTCTTCAAGATTACGTTTTTAACTGCTTCAGACGCTTCATACTTTCATGCTTTAAAAATCGTTATTATTGTATGTTTGATATTTTGAAAAAAAATCAAATATGTTTTGAGGAGAGTATTAAGTAGTACCTAGTCCAATGCCAGCTGCGAATTTGTTGAAGAATACAAAGAATCCGTAGAAGATGCTATCGCTGCTCTCGCTGTACTTGACGATGTAGTCGTCCACCACATCTGGCAACATGGACCAGGGCATGAAGTAGCCGGAGCCCAGTCCGAATCCAGTGACGAAACAGATGGAGTAGATGATCCACTGGTTGATGCCAGAGGGCACGAAGTAGAGACTGCACAGAGCAGGCACAAACACCAACACACCTAATCAACACAAGTTATTATCCATCTCTTTATCCCCCATCGGGTACCTAGAAGCGAATATCTACCTGGAAACAAATAAATCAACATATCAGAATTTTATACATAGTAAGGAATCTCACCCCCTTTACAAAAGTGGAATATGGTAAAAGAGATCGGTAATTATGAAGTAATTTTGAATTTGAAATGTGCATAAAGCTGGGAAAGATGCAAAGAATTATCCCAACACAGTTCATTGCTAAAAAAAATTGCCAAAAAAGAAAAGTTCAATTTTCTTCAAATAAACAGCTTTTTAAAAATCTTCCAATTTGCTTTTAAAATAGAGTAAAGCACCTTTTAATTTTATGGAAAAATAAGCAGTTGATTGTGTAAATGAAGGCTCGATTCATGAATTCTCAAAGTTGACGGAAAATTACGGTAAGGTTGTTGGTTGGTAAATGCAAAAGTATCGTACAAGTTTCACTAAGAGAACTTTTTTAGGCAATATCTTGCTGGTATCTGAACCTGGAGTGAGAAATTGTGAATATAATAACATATTCACTTCAATACTAGTACCCAAATGAGCCTTCAAAGTAATTATAAAGTTACGCGCACAAAAGCCACCAACAGCTAAAATGCCTTCGAACATGGTCGGAGCAAAAACTCTGCTGTAATCAAAATGTGCAGTCAATCTGTTCCAGGAACAAGATGCACACAAAAATCTCTCATTTAGCAAAACTCATTTTCGCAGGTGATCTGACAGTTCGAAATTGCAGATGCATGAACAAATGTTTGGCCAGCATCAACACATGGATCATTTTTTCAGACTTTTTCACGTTCTGAATTCAATTCAGTCACAGTGATAAATGTGATTTGATTGTTTTTTTTTTACTTTTATTGGCTCAAAACTAAACAATAAAATTAACACAGAGGCGAAGCTGAGATTCGCAAGATTTGCGATGCAAAACAAGAGAGCCGCTAAGTCGAAAAAAAAACGATAATGTCAAAAAAAACTAGATCCATCAAAATGAATTATCAATTCACACTCGCCCTCAAAACACAAACACACATAACTTTCTTTGCTTTTCAAATGCAACAATTCGAGGTCTTCTAAGCCGATGTAATATAGGACGAAACCTAATAAGCCGAAAACATAATTAAAAAAGCCGGAAAAAATTATGACTAATAAAAAGTTATTCAGCCCCCCTCACCCTCAAAGCACATTCCCACACATAAAAAAGTTTTAGCTTGTCGAAAAACGCAGATTGAGTCATTTAAGCCGATTTTGTATAGGCCGAAACCTATCAAGTGGAAAAAAAGGAAAAAACCGAAAAAAAACTATTAATTCTATTGTAATTTTTAGCATTTGATGCTATCCAGAAGGGAGTATCGAAATATGTGTCTTTGAAATTACTCAAAAAAAGCTCACTAAGCCGATAAAAAGTAAGTCAAAATCATTTGGGCGAATTAAACTTTTTTAGCGAAAAAAAATATTAAGAAGTCAATTTTAGTAAAATTACGAGAAGCAGAAAAAAGATCGAAACACACTCAGAAAAAATATCGACTACAATATAACTTGCGTATAGCAAAAAAAAAACATTTCTAGGATGTGAAAACATAAGCGGACAAATAATTGGATGATCATTTTTTGAAACTGACTACTTCCCGTTTGATTAAAAAAAAAACAGGTCCTGTCAGATTTCAACCCAGGACCACTGCCGTCCCACGCATATTCCTTACCTCCAGCCCAAGCGTGCCGTAGACCCATAGAAATATGAAATTATTATGAGCTGAGTCCAAACTTACCTTTTATGGTAAATTCTAATTTTGACCATTCTGTGAACAAAGTTGTTTACAGGAAAAAAATTCTAGTACCCGATTGCAATACCCGGCTCTTTTTCCTTCCCCCTCCCCCCACCTCACACGAGCTTCAATATATTAGTGTAACCAGTGCTTTTACGAGGTTGAGTATGAAGACCAAATATGTTTGACGTTGCTTTATTAGTTCGTATGTAAATTTTCATTACAATCGGACAATGTGGTCAACAAAGTTACATGTAAAAATTTGCAGGTGGGGGGAAAAGGAAAAAGAGCCCAATACCCTTGCCTATCGCAAGGGTAAATAGCAAAGATAATCGATAATTTTTCAGAAAAAAAAACTCAAATTTGTTGGAATATTGCTTAGAAGTTGAAAGAAATTATGCAGTTTTGATGATAATTTGAGTTGTTCTATGATGATAATGTAAGTAGGATTGAGCACAGGGTGTCGTGTGTCTGCGCGCGTGTCGTGTGTGCGCGTGTGTGTGTCGTGTGGAGGTGTGTGTGTGTGTGTGTGTGTGTGTGTATGTGTGTGTGTGTGTGTGTGTGTGTGTGTGTGTGTGTGTGTGTGTCGTATGTGTGTATGTGTGTGTGTGTCGTGCGTGTGTGTTACCTGCGAATACAGCGACCTTCTTGCCGAACTTGGTGAGTACCAGTTGCCAGAGGGGCACCCCCAGTCCCCCCGAGGACATGAGGATGATGACTGCCACCGTGAACTCCGTCCCCTCCCCTTTCTTCAGGCTGAACAAATAACACGAAAAACAATGATGCTTCAGTTTTAGTTATTATGTTTTAGCTTTAATGTTGAGTTGTTGTCATCACTGGTGTTCAAACTATTTTTTGATCTGGAAAAAAACAGTGCTTTGCTCAGTAGCGTGCCGAGAGGGGGGCGACCCCCCTCCTTAATTCTGGTTGTTAATTTTTTCCAAAGGCCCCCCCTTTGGTATAAATTTACGCGATTCGGCTGACCAACATCAAAAATTTTCTATATACCTGAGGTAGAGCGTGCGCCGACAAATATATTGTTAAAAGTTCTCATAACGTCGTTTTTAGCCTGTTTTTTCTTCAAAAAAGCCCCTCATTACAAACCCCTCAATACTGGAACCTGATCTAAACTACATATTATGATTGGATAAATTAAATGTTTTACCAATGTAAAGTATTTAATATTAACCAATCATGATCCATCTAACTAACAACCCACTTATTTGTAAGTGCTGAAGTTACTTGTAATTTAAGCACCAGAGAGATTTGAATTTAACTTAGAAATTAGTTGGACTCTCCCGAGCACTTCAGCAGCCGCAATAAACCAGTATACCCTAGATCTATTGAGCCTAGCAGAGACTAGTTAAACAACCTGAGACTAGATAGTATAAGAGTAAGATTAGGATCGGTATTAGACTAAGAAGTTGCACGAATCTATCCGGCCGAAAATAAGATAGCGTGACGAGCAGACGGTGTACCCTATCCGAAATTACTCTATGAGTTAACCAACTCGGTCATAACTCATCTGGTGCGACCATAAGTCTCGAACAAGACCTTAATAGCTTAGAATTAACCAAAATAGATTAGAAATTAGACAAAAACATTTACAAAATGTTATACGACAATAATTTAATCGAAATGTCTCTACGACTCAATAGATCAGAGCCAATATTCCGAACGATAACAGAACTACCCGGAATTGGAAGAAGACCTCGAACCAGAGACGACATACGACAAAGTAGAAACTTGCCATATAGCTATATGATAGTTAGGCAAAAACCAGAGCAAACTTTTATATTTAGAATACTACTGGCAATGAATTTAGATTTTCATTTGCAAACATAAAACCTTGAAGTTAATCTTCAAAATCATTTCAGGCGCTAAACAAAATTATTAATATACAATAACGATTGATAAAAAGATCTAAGATCGTTTTCCTAAAACTCTGCAGTAATATACAAAACATGTTTGAAAAATATTTATTGAAAAATAAAAAATAAAAATTAGTAGCATGACAATAAATGGTTAGTAATCATAAATCATCCTGTTGTTCCAGCTCCATCACCTAAAACATAACAGCAATCATAAACCCACTAATATCATAAAAAAAAAACTAAATCTTTCCTTTACACACATTTAAAATTTTATTAAAACTTAAATTCACCTAATTTTAAAACCAGATCATCAAGGCTTATCCTTGGATCTTAAATCATTTTCTACTTAATTAAATTTCAAATTTGATCATCAAGGCTTATCCTTGGATCAAACAGAACAACTTTGTTCTCCCCCACCCACTTAATTAGTGTCTAACGACCTCAAACGTCGATTCACTACCCAACCCTTTCTAAAGACCCAAGACTAATAGAAATTTTTAAACAAAACTAATCATTCAAATTAGGATAAACAGTGAAGAACTTCGGTTATTCATCCTTCACTTGACCCCCCCTCTTAACAGACCCAGGATAAATCTTAGACTTAGTAAATTTAAAATAGTATCTAACGAACTACTCGCGTTCTAATTATACCTGAACCTTGTGGATCGATTTACTATTCTCCAACCCTTGAACACAATCACTACCCCTAAGTAAGATTAAGTAAGTTAACACCTTAGCTTATACTAGCCACGAGAAAGTAAAAAATCATTCTTCGGAATCGATATACTTTTCTCTCCAACCCTGAACAAATAGACCCAGGTTAAGCTAACCAAAAAATCGTAAGAACTAACAGTTTAAGAAAATAGAAATCATTTAACAACCTTTTGCATCCGTCATCCTAAACCTTATGTCATTTAAAAACCTAGGAAATAAACAAACAATCGTTTTACACAATTGTGAAATAGATAACAAAAAATACGACCTTGTAATCACACCTCATACACAAACAGTTGGATACATTCGAACAAAACGACAAACACTAAAAAGAAAAATAATAACTAAACAAAGACAAATAACACGAAAAAGATTTTCAAAAAATCGAAACGCATTTTCAGAATCAGAAACCAACAGTTTAGACGAACTTTACAAACTAAAAGAATCAATAGATAAAAATTGCCCACTTCACGATCAATTATATTTTTCTGACTCAGAAACAACTTCAAATTCATCACAAAGAGGAAAAAAAAGAATAAAAAAGCAGTATAAACACAAACCAGTACATTTATACAATTGGAATCAACCAATTCGACACATTAATAATTACATATTAACAGTCATCGAACGGAAAAATGAGTTCAACGCACACCCCAGGTGACGAAACTCCAGATGATGATGAAATCTTTCCTTTTATAGTAGATGCAGATACTGATAGAGGACAACACATATTTTGTCAAAATTTACTCGTAAATTTATTTGAACCCGGAATCAGTCCATGTAAAACAGAGTTCCCCGATGTAAAAATCAAAAGACAAATCATAGATCACTATCTAAAAGATATATGCAACATAACACAACAGTATGGAATCTACTCTATAGAATTCATTTCACCAAACCATAATGATAGAACATATACTATTCAAACAGACGATCTTGACTTAGAATTTTCAAAAGTTTTTTCAGAATATATAAAAAGCATCCAATACCATAACTCACAAAGAGCAAACTCCATTTTCACCAATGAAGTTTTCGCAATAATATATAGTTATATTTCGATATTAGAAAACGAAATCCCAATAACAAATGTCTCACCGACAGAAACATCTAAACATTTGAAAGTACGACATGAAATCACACTACTCTCTAGTTATTTAAACATCATTAAAGAAAATTTCACGAAAGACGACGTTTCACAACATACAAAACACGATCTACAAAAAATTTTGGCATGGTTCATAATAGATTATTTCACACACAATATTGATTTAATTGCACAAGCAAGAAAAAATTTTAGACCCCAAAACTCGAACGATGATACCGCTATCACAGAACAATCAGATTATGTTTGGGACCCCGAATGGTCTCATCCCGCATTTATAAGCTTCCCACAATCAATCTCAAGTCAAGCAATAAGTACGATATCTTACATAAGAGATTATGTAAAAGTAATACCATTAACAATTGATGCAACACCATTAAACTATAATACATTTTTACCCGATACACAAAATAATAGTTTAAACTCTACAGTCATACACAATGAAAACCTCAATGGAACTAGGAATCTTACTCAACAAGATATCCAGACACCATCACACTTCATAAATGAAGAAATTGTACACACACAACTACACAACAAAGTATTTCACCAATACGCCCAAATTTAACAACACCAAGAAATACAAATCCTTCACAAACACAGGTAACCTTACAATCAACCGTTAAACCTTCGGTTGCCCCTAAATATTCACATATGGATTACCAAACATACAGACCCATGACAATACCATCAAAAACACGCAAAACATTCACTAGAAACAACTTTACAGACCATAATTATAATTATACACATCCATCAAAAACATATAATCAACCACAAAGAAATTTTAACCAATATACAAGATCTCGAAATTGGGATAACCCAATGACCCAACCTAATTCAATAAATTTCCAAACAAATCCTCCACAGGATCACAGTGAAAATTACCCATTTTTTCAACAAAATAAAAATAAAAAACAGACATCTTATCAAATGGATTATTTATCCTCAGATGATGATTTCTTACAACCAGATATATTTGCACCAAATACTCAAGAATATCGTAGACAAGGAATACAGAGAACACGTACAAATCATAGAAATTTTTCTCCACAATCAATAGATGCACAACATCAACAACCAATTCAACAACAAAATCTAATTAATACACAATCTTTTCAACCAATTCAACAACAAAATCCAATGACTGCACACTCGTATCAACCATCACAAATGCAAAATGAAATACCACTCCCATATTATCTCCAACAACATGAAATAACAAGAAACCAACTTTCAAATTTTTCTCAAATGCCAAATGCAGCAGAATCATTACAAATGACAATGAATCCATACCTTATGGGTGGATCATCAATAACATCAAACAAACCTTTAATGGTTTTCACAGGAACAGACCCTGAATACTCTGTAGAAGATTATTTAAATGCAGTAACAGCAAACCTGATTTTAAATATTGGACCTGAACCAATAAATACGCCACTACATCAAAACTGGATACATCGACGCACAGCGTTAATACAAACAACCTTAGATGGCGCAGCCCAAAAATGGTTTTCAGTACTACCTCTAGAAATAAAATCAAACTGGAAAAGGTTTACACAGGAATTTTCAAAAATGTTTGACTCCGAAAGAAACAAACAACAACAAAGAGTTTTATGTAATGAAATTCGCAGATTACCAAACGAAACCATCAAGCAAATAGCAGTACGAATCGAAACACTAGTTCGAAAAGCATATTCACTAAATACACACGACTATAAAAACACAAAGATGACAGAAATCTTAATGATGACCTTAACACCACAATTAAGGAAAATAGCAATAAAAAAGAGAGCATCCCATCCTTCTTCAATTCGAGAACCCGATTTAGATTTTCAAAAACTAGTAGACAAATTAGAACAAGCAGAAATCACGATGAAACTAGAAGAAACGGAAAATCTGAAATTACAATACGTTAATAGAATTGAAACGACTCCCACTAATATTAATAATATACAGGAATCAGAGACAGACCTCGTTGAAAAAATCACTGAAATACTCAATATTTATGAAAAGAACCCAAACTTCAAAGGCAAACCATCTTTCAAAAAATGGTGTAATTATTG